ACTGAGGCTCATCGTCGCTGTACTCTCATAAAGTCGAACCATCGTAAAGCGAGGAGCATTTGTATTGTGTTTCGGGGTTATTTGTACTGAAACACGCTCGCATTCCGCTGTGCTCATTCTTTGACTGAAAGAGGGTAAACTGGCTTCGAGATTGCCGAACTCCTGGCAAGGACATCCGTTTTGTTACATATGGCAGTTTTTTCCCTTTCGGCTGTCTTTTATGTGTTGTCTGTTCGGCGCCTCGTCGATGCATGTGTTTATGTGATTTTGACTCAACGAGGTAGGTCTGTGCGTTCAGCGTTTTGCGTCAAGTAAGCGAGATGGTTGTCGGATTTCAGTCCGCAATCCCGTCGCTTTCGGTGCTTCTTTTTCCGTCCTTTCACCGTCCTTCGTTGTGTAAATACCCGCACAGGGCATGCCGTCATGACCGAACGTGTCGGATTGCGCACGGTCACTCCGCACCTCCATTCACGCGTCGATTTTCGTGGCATACAGCAGCTTACCGTTGCCTTACTTTCATCTTGCAGCGCCGTCGTTTTCCGTTTTCCTCTGGCTTACTGCCCTTCCTGTCCGACTACTTCTCGTCATTTTACCGGCGTTCATTGCCTGACAGTCTGTGCATCGGATTAGGAACAAACAGCCGGGGCGGTAGAACAAATGACAGCCACGAGCTGAAACGTTGACTGAATCACACTGCTGTTTCGCTGCTCCGTTTTCGCGCTTCGTTCATAACGTTTTTGTTGGTCAACGTCGCTGCTGACATACACCTACCTCTTGTTCGATTTTTTGTAATTAAAGTTTCTTCATAAAATGTCTTGATATATGTTCTTTTTCTCTGTTTCCTCGTTGTTCCTTCTGGCACGTTTCTCTTGTGATGTTTCATTCACCTTCCCATTTACATTACGCCTTTCCGTTTCAGCCACTGAGTAGCGCAACGCCTTGTCTGTATGTGTTTATGCTTTCGCTAAACTTGTTTATTTGCAGCACCACCAAAGCCATGCAGCCAAACAGGGACGTTCAGCGCCGTCAGGAGAACACGCTGCAAGTGTGGATTCTGGAGGCGAAAGGCATGCCTCAAAAGCGGCGCTACTTCTGCGAACTGTTGCTCGATGGTGCACTGTATTTCCGGACGACGTCGAAGCTGAAGACGGATATCTGCTTCTGGGGCGAGCAATACGAGATCAAGTACGTGTTACACTTTTCACGCATGGTTGGTGCAACGCAAATCGATTGGTCGACCAGTTAGCCGGCCGGCCTCTGAATGAGCACATTC